GCCATGACCCTGCCAAAAATAAATCTTGAGCTTGACCTAGGCCAAGGCCACGCCATGGTTGAGTAAACTGTTCTGAATGGGGATGGGATTGATACTGGTACTAAGTTACTGTTGAAGGTTGAGGTATTGGCAATGGCCATGGGTCATTCGACTATTGTAGATCAATGGGGAATGTACATTCTTTTCGTTTCCGGAATCAAAAATAGTGTCTCATAGAAAACAAGTGACTTTACCTTGACGTGACCTTGAAGGTCATGATCAAGATGTATTATTGACAATGGCCGAGGACCATTCGACTGTTGTATATCAATGGGGAATGTTCCACTCTTTTCGCTCCACAGTCAAAAATAACGTGTCTCATTGCAAACAAGTGACTTTACCTTGACGTGACCTTGAAGGTCATGGCCAAGATGTATTATGACAATGACCAAGGACCATTTGACTGTTGTATATCAATGGGGAATGTTCTACTCTTTCCGCTTCCGGAGTCGAAAATAAGGTGTCTCATTGAAAACAAGGGACTTTACCTTGACGTGACCTTGAAGGTGATGGTCGACATGTATTATTGACAATGACCATGGGCCATTTGACTATTGCAGATCAATGGGAAATGTTCTATCATATCCGTTCCACAGTTGAAAATAACGTGTCTCATTGACGTGACCTTGAAGGTGATGGTCGAGATATATTATTGACAATGACCATGGCCCATTCGACTAGTGTAGATCAGTGGGAACTGTTCTATTGTTTTCGTTTCCAAAGTGAAAAATAAAGTGTCTCATTGAAAACAAGTGACTTTACCTTGACGTGACCTTGAAAGTCATGATTAAGATGTATTATTGACATCCGCCAAGGACCATTCGACTATTGTAGATAAGTTAGGAACATTCTATTCATTTCGCTTCCAAAGTCGAAAATAACATGTCTCATTGAAAACAAGTGACTCTACCTTGACGTGACCTTGAAGGTGATGGTCGAGATACATTATTGACAATGACCATGGACCCTTCGACTATTGTAGATCAATGGAGAATGTTCTATTCTTTTCGTTTCCAAAGTCGAAAATAACGTGTCTCATTGAAAACAAGTGACTTTACCTTGACGTGACGTTGAAGGCGATGGTCGACATGTATTATTGACAATGACCATGGTCCATTTGACTATTGTAGATTATTGGGAAATGTTCTATTCTTTCCGTTCCACAGTCGAAAATAACGTGTCTCATTGAAAACAAGTGACTTTACCTTGACGTGACCTTAAAGGTGATGGTCGAGATGTATTATTGACAATGACCATGGCCCATTCGACTAGTGTAGATCAGTGGGAACTGTTCTATTGTTTTCGTTTCCAAAGTGGAAAATAAATTGTCTCATTGAAAACAAGTGACTTTACCTTGATGTGACCTTGAAGATGTATTATTGACATACGCCAAGGACCATTCGACTATTGTAGATCAGTTAGGAACATTCTATTCATTTCGCTTCCAAAGTCGAAAATAACATGTCTCATTGAAAACAAGTGACTCTACCTTGACGTGACCTTGAAGGTGATGGTCGAGATACATTATTGGCAATGACCATGGACCCTTCGACTATTGTAGATCAATGGAGAATGTTCTATTCTTTTCGTTTCCAAAGTCGAAAATAACGTGTCTCATTGAAAACAAGTGACTTTACCTTGACGTGACGTTGAAGGCGATGGTCGACATGTATTATTGACAATGACCATGGTCCATTTGACTATTGTAGATTATTGGGAAATGTTCTATTCTTTCCGTTCCACAGTCGAAAATAACGTGT